TTGTAGATAGTGAGTAGCCCAGCAGCGTGCGCTGGGGGCCGCTTTTTTGTGTTTTCGAAGTGTCTTTGAAGAGGATTTAGATTAAAGTTTTGAACGACTGCTAGATTTATGCTAAAACAATTAGATTATTCGCTCTCGATTTCTATGCGTGATAGTTGACTTGGGCTGCACCCTCGTCAACCATCACGCGATAGCAATCTCGAGCTCATTATCTAATTGTTAAGCAGATGCGCTACACTGACCTTACACTGTTGGAATAAATTATATCAACTCCCTTACCCGTTTTGTGTTCTTAAGGAAGACACTCTCATAGCTTCTCCACCACATTAGACAGTATAAAGGAATGCTACGTGTAGTTACCTGGTAGACAACTTGACAAAATCGTTGGAGGGGGGGTGGGGGAAGGGGGGGGGCTGTGATGAACTATTATCCCATTTAGGAAGAGTAGTTTTACCCGTCTCATGCTATGAAAACTGGAAGAAGCTCCAACAGTGTTGGCCTTTGTAGCATTGTGCGGGCTAAATCCCCCTGTAGTCTTAAAATTCTTCTGTTCCACAATCAACTTATCTCTCATTGTTCAATGCAAAATCCTTTCTTTGATGATATGACATTTCAGTTTCCGATAAGCGCTGTTAAATTTCTGTGTTTCAGGGGTTTTGCTCTGGTTGGACCCTTCGTGGTGATGATCTATCAGATGTTAAAGAGAGATTTCCTCATCTTCTTTGTCATTTATATGATTTTTGTCATTGGATTTTCACAAGGTGAGTATCGTAAAGTAATGTTTGTTTGCTTGATTTTGCAAGAAAATTGTTCACAGTACAACGAAACAAAACCAGCAAAAGCTCTTCAAAATGTACTAAAAAGCTAGCCGTTAGCTTTGAAGCAAGTTTCTGTTGTTTCTTTTGTTTGACTGTAACGGTTACTTGAGAACTGAAATGGGTATTACGCCTTTGACAGTGACGTCATAGACTACTCTGTCGTGCGTGAAGCGAAAGAAAACCGCGAGAAAAAAATGGCCGTGCGAACTCCTGGAGGAGAGAAGCACGCGAAACGTAGTCCCTCCTTTCGCGTGCTTCTCGCCTCCAGGAGTTCGCACGGCCATTTTTCTTTCGCGTCACGCACGACTGACTAAGCGAAAGCGGGACCACTCGTAGTCTAGTGACGTCAGCTAATTAGCATCAATTTTATGCTGATCTGCGAGCTTGGGAAACAAGAATAACAATCGAAACCTACAGCTGAATCAAAATTAAACTCAACTTGTCAAAATGACGGCATCCAAAGTTTGTTGGTATTGAACTTCCAGATACTTCTGTAAAGATTCCTGTCTTGGTATCAGTGTATTTTTCTCAGTTTTTATTTTTTCTTCAGCCATGTTCCTTGTAGTGATGGGGTATGATGACCGAACTGTGGAAGAAAATCTCTTTACACGCTGGTTTTCTGCGGGACTTGGACTCATTGTTCTTTCATTAGGGGAGTATGAGGTACATAAAGCAACACGAGTGGGAAAAGGTGGTATACGTTACTTACTAATACGCAATTAGATTATGAGCTCGAGATTTCTATCGCGTGGTAGTTGACGAGGTCGCAGCCTGAGTCTACTATGACGCATAGAAATCGAGAGCGAATAAGCTAATTGTTTTAGTATAAATCTACTAGTCGTTCAAAACTTTATCTAAATCTTCTTCACAGACACTTCGAAAATACCAAGAAGCGGCCGTCATTTTGTTAACAAGGGCACACTGCCACGCTACACACTATCTATCACAGAATAGATGGTGAGTAGCGTAGCCAATCAGAGAACGGCAGTCGTGATAGAACGCTAGTAGATTTATACTAAACCGTGGTAGAACACGATGACGGTTAACTAAGAGATGAGACTTTCTGTCTTTATCTCCCTCCCTTAATAAAAAGCGAAGAAACAAAAAGACTGTACGAGACGAAACAGCAGGAAAGCAATGCAAGAGGCAGAGACAGACGGAGAAAATATCCCTCGTTATGGATAAATCTTCTTCCATTGAATGTTTATCAAAAGATGTATCATGCTAATCTCGTTCCCAAAGTCTCTGCCTCCAATGCAGGGTCACTGACTAGGAGGAGTTAGGTCACTGGAAATAGAAAGGAGGAGGAGTTTGTTGCTCTTCGTTATTAAGGTTCCCGTTTTCTTTCATTTGTTGTTAAAACACACTAACTTCTCACCAATGTCTGATTTCAGGACTTGTATGGACAAGTGGCTAACAGCAGATCACCATTCAAGATTTTGGGTTTGGTAAGTAAATTATATTTGTGACTGCAGTGCAATCTTACGCCAAGTCTACGTCAGGCGATTATGGTTATACACACTGCCTCGCTCGGTCTATTAATAGCCCAGAAGTGCTGCTGGGAAGTTAGATAGCTAGGGGGGACTATCCAATGCTTATTCCTCCCTCTCCCCCTCTACCTAACTAATCCGCCATAAGAGAGACAGCTAACAAGCTATGATTCACAAAGGTATTTTTACAGCTTAAAACGATGGATGGAAAATAACATAATTTTTCACATTGAATTGGAAGGGTACAGTAACACCAGGCCCAGAAGATGACATTTTGTATTTCATTCTTAAGGGAAGATTCGAACCCCCTAAGACACAATTATTGGCACTGGTGCAGTGAACCTCTCGTTCCTTTTTACGTGTTTCTTTTTCAAAAGTCAGAGACGCATTTAGTAGAAATCTCTCCGTTTTTAAATCAAGTTTCTAGACAGGCTTCACAGAACTACAAAGAGATCGTTATTAACTGTAATGAAAGGTGATATTGAAGTCGCATTTTTCCTGAAGAGAACTTATTCTGCGCGCGTCGAATCACGTGCAACATTGCAACATATGTAGCTTAAAAAACTTGTTTATAACTTGTCTTGTTGTTCCAGATCATGTTTTTCCTGTTTTTGATCCTGGGTGCTCTGTTGATTGTGAACATGCTGATTGCTATGATGGGCAATACCTACCTTATGGTCGCGGAAACCAAGAAGGAATGGACACGACAGGTAGCCTGCAGCTCATTGAAGACCTCAAAGCTTTACGTCTAGGTTACACTATTATAACAGCAAAGAAGAATATGTTTTGAAGCAGTAAAAATGTCTTTTTTTTTCACAGTGGGCGCGAATTGTGCTGACCACAGAGCGCATGCTCACACCAGCAAAGAGGCTTGCCGCGCAGAAAAAGTATTCACAGGGGCTGGGTTCTGATGGGGAGAGGGCGCTGATCATGAGACTGCGGAATCACGAGAATCGGCAACAGGTGTGAAGCGTGTTTTATGTTCATTAAGAATTGCTTTATCAAGCTCAAGGGTCAAGGAAAACCAAAAAAAAAAAAAAAAAACCAAAAAAGAATATTAAGCTTTTACGGTCTAGGAAAAGTGAGCCAGTTTGGATCCAGTTAGGTAAATTCTGAAAATGCTGCTATTTCGATTCAGGCAATGAAATGTCCCGGGAATTCTCTCCTACGAGTGAAAGCTTAGCCTGCGTATCAGACGTTTACATAAGAGCACGCGAAGGGAGCGAAACTGCCAGCGAAAAATAAGGAAAAAATAAGCCTGGAAAAGGAAAGGAAACTTCTGCTATGCAGGCTATTGAGAGCTCTCAAACCATTTCTAGTTTAGCTCTCTCGGGTGGCGAGAACCCGGTTTCCCTTGGCTTGAGATTTACTTTACTTAAATTGATGCCTTTTATTTCTCTTCGCAGAGCCAAGTCTCCAATGATCCAAAGCAACAGGCGAAAGACAAAAGGAAGAACTCTATACCTTTGCCAAGAAAAGATTACGACTGGCTGGACACGAGCATGTGAAAAACTCGGATTGATTGAAACTGCGATGCAAACATTCTTTTTTGTAACATGGTGTACAAGCAAAACGAAAGGGTCATTACTAAATAGACTGAATTGACTTTTTCGTCTCGTTCGTATGTCAAACCGCTGGTAAATACAACGAACTATTCGAAACATGCATGTGGTACAGTTTATGCTGTATAAAGTAGTTCAAATCTGTAAACGAAATCGAAAAAAAAATAAAATAAAATAATAATAATAATAACAATCAGGAAGAGAATTGGTATTCTCTTTCTTCAAATTATAAAACTTTTTTCTGTCTTATAAACAAACATCATTTTTTTATCAATAAAATGGACTTGCTCTTTTTTTAGAGCACTTTTTTTTTAGACGAACCACGAATTTCATCAGATTCAACGTATTTATTTCATTCTGTTGGCTCTGTTGGCTCAATTAGTTCTTTGATACAGCACAGGTTAATGTCATTTTGTAAAAAACAAAATTGTAAAGCACGTCGCAAAAGGTGGCCGTATTTAACAAACGT